TCAAGAACCACACTTATTAGGGCGATCAACTCATCAACCAGATCACGCCAGACATCACTGCGAGCCCCGCCCCGACGGCCACGCCCACCTGTCAGCGCGGACGTAGATTCTCAAATCTTGTTTCATAACTTCTGCTTTTGCTGTTTCCCACAAACCCTTTGACTGGAAACCACCGTGCATTCACACATGGCCGGCTCCGCCCATTCTCTAAAGGGTTTGGCACTCTAGGCTGACCACGCCCACTGGCTTTTCGCGGAATTTCGATGTTTTTTCAAAATTTTTGCAATTTAGGGTTGCTGCGCGAAGCCCCGCCCTTTGTGAGATGCTCCACCCACTTTGAATGAGCCCCGCCCACTTTACGAAAAATGGTGCAGATCGGCAGTATAGAGACTTGGCTTGCATGTTAGGGTCTCGTACGTCACTCGAAACCAGAAATCGGCAAAGTTTATTCGAAAGATCAGCCAATACCCTAAACATTGCAAGCCAAGTCTACTAACACTGCCGATTTGCATCATTTTGAACAAGTGGGGGCTCATTCAAAGTGCGGAGCATCTCACAGAGGGCGGGGGGTTCACGCAGCAGCCCTAAAATGCAAAAATTTTGAAAAACATCGACATCCGCCGAAAAGCAGTGGGCTGGTCAGCCTAGAGTTGCCAAACCCTTTAGAGAATGGCGGAGTCGGCCATGTGTCAATGCCGTGGTTCGAGTCAAAGTTTTTGCTCTGGGAACAGCCGAAAGCAGAAGTTATGAAACAAGATTTGAGAATCTATGTCCTCGCTGACAAGGAGGCGTGGCCATAAGGGCGCGGGCTCGCAGTGATGTCTGGCGTGATCTGGTTCATGAGTTGCCCGCCTAATAAGTGTGGTTAACTATGAATAGAATAAGTGGTTAAGGGGAATTGTTTAAAAGGGAGTTTTAAAACAAGGACGAAATCTATGATATATGACAGAGAACGGCGCCGCGGAATATATAAAGTAATATATATTCTAGTATATATTATATAATATATTACTATATTATATATATATATAGTATATATTATATATATATATATATATATAATATATATATCTATATGACGTATATATATCTATTATATATATACTATATATATCATATATATCGCTCGCGGCGGCGCCGTTTTGTCAAAAATTCCCGTTTATCGAACGACGGGTTTGCGGCGGGCGACACTTAGGCAGTCATCACGTTTATGGTTGCGCGCTCGCGACGGAACCATAAACGCCTAAAAATAGGAAAGTCATTTTTCGCTATTCTTTTCACATTTTCCACTTCTACAGCTTTTATCTAGGTTTCGGTTAATGAACTAGCGCTTTTTTGTGAAAGTTCTTAGTTCCTCTTGTAAAAACCACTACTGCCTCACCTGGTTCCAAAAAAGTACACGAGAAATGTTCTTAGTAATACTTGTATGTTATTTGGTTCATGATTTGTTCATAATTGCCAGTGAAAGAAGAGAAAAAAGTCATCAAAAAACGAGCGAAGAGGCGCGTGTACTCCCAAGAATGCCAGATCCGCCTTTCTTCATTGACTTTCGAATCGCTATGAATTACACTTTATCGAATTCTTATCGGACATTTTCACCACCATGTTAAAGAGCATATTAAATACTATCATGACACTCCGCCACAGACTTCTGGACGACCGCCATCGAGAGATTCTGGCGCGCGACCGCGACGTGGTGCCTGAGATCAGCGAGATAGTCGATTTCTCCGCCACCGTAGACCACCCTATTGAACTCCGCCCGACTGGATAATTGAAGGGATTTAGGCCAGGTGACCTTCTTGGACATTCCATCTTCTTTAGGTACCCAGCCCCCTTCCATTCCAAGTAGGCGAGAGTTTCTCCAACGTCCTTCGATTCCATGGGTGGCACCCAATGCTGTAGCAGTACAAAGTTCCTAAGAAGGTACGGACGACGACATGTGAGGAGTATATTCTTCACGAGTTGCTCAATGTAACCACCAGCGCTCACCTAATGTCCGGGGTCCACGAAGAAAATATTGTTCTTCCAATTCCAGGTACGTTCGGTCCATACCATCAACCTGCGCCTTGACGACTGTGGTGAAGATGATGTCCTAGACAGTAGCGACGTTGTCGGAGCTGCTCGATGTTGGAGGTCTTCCAGATTGAGAGTACTGGTCTCCAGGTAGCTATCCATGGGTGACTCCATACTAGAAGTTTCGCAGCTGTTTGAAGGTGACATGAATTCCAAAGGTCTTCTCCAGTCAGGCTGCGACTGGAGATGACTTCTGTGTGGACACTCTTCTTATGTGGGGGGGGGGGGCTCGTGTCGATGGGCCGATTATCATGCTTTTCTTGCTTGCGACTCTAGTGCAGGTTCATCACGGAATACTGCTACTCACTTGTCTTTGATTCCGAACTGCAGAACATCAAAGGGGTGGATTGTCCTGAATTACGCTACTAAGATTTCTGCCTGCTCGCTTTCCGTTCTTTTCTTTCGACATTTCCATAAGGCAGCTCATTGATGTTATTGTTTGATAATAAGGCTATGGCACAAATAGCCATTGAGCTGAGTGGTCAAAAGTGGCCTCGGTAGCGTAATAGGGAACGCAACTGCCCGGTAAGCAGAAGATGCGGTTCGAATCCCGTCCGTGGTCCGACTTTTGCCCACAACTCAGCATTCTTGTGGCAGCTCATTGAATTTTCAATACTAAAGAATGAAGGACGGCATCATACAAGCCTTATACGGCTTGGCCAGGATCTGCAACTGGCGATTCGAATTACTAGCCCTCAATCTCTCCCTCTCTCATTCTTCCTTCTACGTTTGTCCTGCTTTGATTTCATTGCTTCCTTCTCAATTATTCACTCAGTTCGTCGAAATTTCCTTCCAATGCCGACAAAATGCAGGACGATTTCAGATGCGATGGTGATCCCCACGATTCCACTACGATGTTCGGAATGCGGTAAAGAAGTGCCCACATCAGTCAACAAATCCCCGTTGACTGAAAACCATTTACGAGAGCCGAGGAAACCAGACGCCAGTGTGAGTGCTGTGGTCGAGTTCTGGTGGTGTCGAGACTGCGCCCAAGGCGTATGCAAGTAAGATTTCATTTACATGATTCACAGAAGGATCAATTTCTTTCCTCTTACCATTGATACTATTTATTCTCTGTTGGAGGAGTTCCGTCTTTGGTCATATCAACAACAGTGTTAAGTGGAAGTTGTTTAATAAGGCAGGCTACGCATCAGATTGATGTTGTCCGGTTTTGCAAGAGGAAGAAATGGTGTCTGTGGTGTCCGCAATATAGTATAGTTCGCTGCGGACGGTTGGGCGGGTCCGTGCGGCTGCGCTGCGCTTTGCGCCAAACTCGTACACTCGTTGTTGAAGCGGGCAAGTGACAATACTGTATCATATCCTTCGTATTATCAGTCTTCTACCACTTTTTGTCGCAGACACTCTTTAAGAAGAAGGCAGAGAACGGCTTTGATAGGGTGACACACTCATAGTGGCTGACACGCCCAACCGTCCGCAGAGAACAATAGTGTAGTTCTTTTCACTTTCGACCATTTAGGAACTTTATGCTCCAAATAATTCAGGAGAACCGTTGCTCATTTACTCATTTAGTTGAGTTACTCATTACTCCATTACTTCACCGTTACTCATTTAATTGTTAAGCGATTTGTTGAAAGTCATTCTTGAATGCGCACAGGGCCCCAAAAAGAGAAAAGACTGGCGTTTTCGCAAACAGGTATAACTCTCTACAAGGGCAGGTACTCCACCTAGGTCTTTGCTTCCCTATAACTCTCGATTCCTGCTTGCTATATGACAAAGCTTGTAAGCCGCATACGTGGAAGTTGCTCTGAAATTAGATGCACTCTGTTGCTTGGTGGGAGGAGAGAACTGGAATATGTATGACGTACTCCTTTTCCTTGCTGGTGCAGCACGCATCATTCTAGCCAAGGTTTCTGTGGTCTATCATTTACAGTAAAGGATAGGTCTTTGATCCATACCTGAATCGCCTTCTTGGCAATAGATTAGAGAGCCGATGAATCCCCCAAAAACGTCAGCGTTGCAATGGTCATAGCTTTCCTGTTCGAATATATAGTCTGCGATGAAAGTTGCAGTCGCTGAGAATGTTTTTGTGAAAATTATAAACGATAGTGTGCAACTTTATTCTCTGTTCATATTATTCAGCTAGCTGCATAATGGTGCAAAAAGTGAGCATCAAGAGGTGCTTGTCAGAGTGTACAGGGAGTGGCAGAAAAAAAGCATTTCGCCCGTGCACCCTACTTCTTTAAAGTGTGATAAGTAGTTAATCAAGTGTACCTTGGGCAGACTTGGTGATCTTAGCTTATTTATTTTTGGAATTCGTCAGACTCACGTGCCTGGATTCCCAGGATGCTTGGCTGTCAATTTGAGGGTCGAGTTGTCAAAAACAAATTGTCTGCCACAGCGACGTTATCCAAACAGCTGGACGGCCTATGTGTTCCAGTTGCAAAGGGGCGGCTTTCACAAACCTGTATGCGAGCGGCTGGAATCGCGCAGCTGCTTAATGCTGACGCAAATAACTTTTTGAGCTCAACAGCGATGGCCTAGAGCTTGGTTATTAGGGACACCCAGGAATATTTACCTTGAGCCTGCAATTCTGTGCAACTTTAGCGGTACCGTTCGAGCGAAATGTCTTTTTGTTTTGCCTCAGCTAGTGTCATTAGAGAATGTCGTTATTGTCACTATTCGAAACGTTAAGCTCCATGACTGGCACTAGCTGCGTAAGTGAGCAAGTGAGGAAAAGGCGTCTTCTCACGTGGGGAAGATTTCCCAAGCGGCTTCGTATAATTTGGTGAAATGAAACGAATGTAAGCGATGGTTTCTTCAGGCGCTTTCAGATGAACTCTATTCTTTCAAGCTTTTTTTGCCATAGTGCCATTGTTGGTTTTACCAAAACCATCTACTCGTATCGCAAGAATGTGAGCCAAATAGAATCACGGATCACTGAGATAACAACATGGGGATAATGTTTGTCAGATTAGACGTGAAACCATTACTAAACATGAGGTCCAGTAGATGGCATTGAAAGCCAGAAATCCGAGGGGAACACAAAATCGAGCGTAGTAGTCGATTTTTGCTGGAAGGTAGTCGGGTTTCGTGAAGTATCGTCGCAGTCGGTCACGGAGTGTCGGCTCATAATCCTGGTACTGAAAAAGTGTTTTTGTTGTAGCAGAGATAAATTATATTATAGTAGATATATTGTGGCTTACTAGATGGCACGTGCAAGGCGGTTGGTAGTGGTCTCGCTCGCTGAGTTCCATTTGAGCTCGTCGTTTCTGAGCTTTTCTTGTCGCTTGGCTTTTAGCCTGGTCTGTTTGCCGCTGACTATCTTGGTAGGAGACGAATGCGTACTCAAGTAAAGCACCAAAGACGAACGTTTGGCACGCTGAAACTCAGAGTTTAGATATGAACTTGTTCGGACATGGATTTCTTTTGAATTGACATTTATCTTGCAAATATTGCCAGCCAACCGTCTCACCTCCAAGCCACACATCTACTACTTTCACGTAACTCACTGGAGGCAGTTTAGCATTGATGGCAGCTTGCTGAAATAGTGACTCAACAGCGGTAGCAATTATAGCTGACATCAATAACTTTCTACGCACCATTGTTGTCATGGTTAACAGCGTGGTGACGCCTAAGGCTACACGACCAGCCGTAGAATGCATATCGATCCAAAACGATACCCATGAAACAATTACTATCATCGTTGTAGGACCGTATAACTGGACTAGATAATAACTAAAATACGACAAATATATGCGAAAGTAGAACGACGGAGCGTTGGAATTCACCTGAATTGTCTTTTAAGGGTAAGCTGCATTCTGAGACAGGCGTACGATCCTGGAAATAGTTGCTTCACGTGTTTTTGGATTTTTGAGAACAGCCGGTATCCACATAATTAGGAATGATATCTTCAGAGTTTCGATGTTCAACATCTATTATGTTGACCGTTCCGTGGAACGTTGCCATTATTCAGCTGATGACAAGAAACTCAAGCGTAGTATTGCGGACGTACCAGTATTGGTGTGACTAGTGCAGTCGTCATTTGTAGTGATATTGGTTAGCTGAAAGTTAGGCAGGTCACTTCCGACGCCCGGTTTGAGCTGCACTGGTGCCGTGGGATCCCACTGGTAGACAATATCCTGGAAGGCATTAGGAATTTGATCAATAGGGTAGGTAAGGATAGGGGAAGCGGAAGCAATATGTTTACCTTCATTGTGTGAGCATAGCTGACTAGGTCAAAATCACAGAACTGCAAATCCAATGGATAGAGTTGAAGCTGCATGTGGCACGAGCTCGTGATACTAATTCGGCTGCTGTACAACACCTAAAATTGACCACTTAATCGTTGCCATCTTTGACATGTTCCACTTCATAGGGCTACATAACCTTTCCATCTGGATGTATTCGCAGGAACATGTTGTCCGTATCGATGAGATGCCGATGTGCAGCTTTCTCTGTCTAAATAGAACTTTTGAATTGGAGATTCTTTTCTAACTTAAGAATGAAAAAAAAGACCACACCGGAAAGAAGGTATCAGGGATCCATAGGTTGCTTTTTATATGGGGTACAGTGAGAAACTTTGGAGGGTTATGGTAGCCAAGGTGAGCATATGCCAGACGCGAATCGAGCCATTGTTCGCGAAATGTTAATTGCATACTGTATTCCTGGAATATGGTTCCCGCATCATCAGGGTCCGGCACAAGTTCAGCTTATGAGAAAAGACTTACCATGTTGACAACATCAATTTTTGACAACATTCTAATCATGATATTCACCCGAACTGTCACTGGACCTGTTGGATCTGAAGAAATACCTATGGTATAGGGAAGTACATGGAACTTTTCGTTAATGTCAAGTTTTCGGAGGTATTGAAGAATGGGCCTCGGGTAAAGGCAAAGCCCGCGATCATTCGCCATCACAGATAGTGGATTAGGCGTTTGCATCTAAACGACAAGGTTCTGAGTAACTCGTTAGTGAAGGAAAAAAAGGCAGGAAAAACGTGCCAGCTGCCTAAGATAGAACCCCACTTTGATGTCAGTTTATACGTGCGCAGTTAACTCCATCTCCAACACTGCGCTCTCATCCGCACCGCTGAATCCCCTGCAAAACCTCTACACCGACAAGTGACGACTTCCATGGTTTTTCGTCCTGCAGCTTCGTTTTTCACCGTAGGGCGGACCTTGAAGATGGAGTCTGGAGGCAGAGTCACTGGAGAACAGGAGACGTCACTGAACTTATATTGCGCTATAGGCCCCTCCCTTACAATTTTTTCGCTGCGAAAGCGGTACAAGGTTGTTCGTCGCAGACCACATTACCCTCCCGACATCATATTTTCAGCTTCTATACCTGATTGCGAACTGTGCCTTCGAATTTGAAGTATACGAAAGGTTTTTGTGTTTTTTCCACCAGCACGTGTCTTGCTGAAAGAATGCGGACACGATAGGACGTAATAGCTCAGAAAGGATCATCCAACGACTGGAGGCGGATTAGGGATCTGAAGTAGTCTCGCACATTGAGATCATGTATAGAAGAACGCCCATATATCCGTTCAAAAATAAAATCTAAACCGGTCCATGAAAGTGTAGAGGTGATTATATCCGCTAGAAATGAGCTGTTCAAAAATTTGCAATGCTTTATGAGCTTTATGAACCAGTACCTGAGTAGTTGGTGGGCGGTGGTCGAACTCGCATGTCGTAATTGGATAGCAGTTCGTTAAGAATCTCTTGCTCTTGGGTGCCACCACTGGATCGACGCGAGACGTGGGACGAATCGGCCATAACGGCCACCGTAGCTACAGTGAACACCAACGCGAAGGTCATCGGTACTGCGAGCCTAAATTTCAATGTCTGGGAAATTACTGCTTATGATCAATTTTACTTCGGTAACCGCTGTTTTTCGTTGCCATTCACAATGCGGAAGTTATTGCAGTGCGGCTAACGTACATAGGAAATGATCTGGAATGAGCCAGTATTCGAAGAGGGAACAGATACGTCGTTGGCCTGCAGGGTGATGTTGCTACAGTTTCCACACGAAGAGAGATAGAAGAAGAAGAAGAAGAAGAAGAAGAAGAAAGAAGAAGAAGAAGAAAGAAGAAGAAAGAAGAAGAAGAAAAGAAAGAAAAGAAGAAGAAAAGAAGAAGAAGAGAAGAAGAAGAAAGAAAGAAGAAGAAAGAAGAAGAAGAAGAAGAAGAAGAAGAAGAAGAAGAAGAAGAAGAAGAAAGAAGAAGAAGAAGAAGAAGAAGAAGAAGAAGAAGAAGAAGAAGAAGAAGAAGAAGAAGAAGAAGAAGAAGAAGAAAGAAGAAGAAGAAGAAGAGAAAAAGAAGAAGAGAAGAAAGAAGAAAGAAGAAGAAGAAGAAAAAAGAAGAAGAAGAAGAAGAAAAGAAGAAGAAGAAGAAGAAGAAGAAGAAGAAAAAAGAAAGAAAAGAATAAGAAGAAAGAAAAGAAGAAGAAGAAGAAGAAGAAGAAGAGAGAAAGAAGAAGAAGAAGAAGAAGAAGAAGAGAAGAAGAAAAGAAGAGAAGAAGAAGAAGAAGAAGAAGAAGAAGAAGAAGAAGAAGAAGAAGAAGAAGAAGAAGAAGAAGAAAGAAAAAAAGAGAAGAAGAGAAAGAAAAGAAAGAAGGAAAGAGAAGAAGAAGAGAAGAAGAAAGAAAGAGGAGAAGAAGAAGAAGAAGAAGAAGAAGAAGAAGAGAGAAGGAGAAACATAATGGAAGACAAAAGCAGCGAAGGGGAACTTCAGTTGGTGAGAGCACGTAAAACTGCGGCTAGTAGCTGTCGCACGGGGCGTTTGACAAATCAACAAACGATTCATTGTTTAACTTCTAGAGCAGCCAGAAGTGCGTATGCCACAGAGTGTGTGTATGTAAAGCCCTTAGATGTTCTACCCACTCGCAAATAAACGCCCTTCGGGTGTCAATTTGTCCGTTTAATTACGCTCCCGGAGAAAATAGGCGACACATCCGACACGTCGGCGCTCACTTCTGCTCTACTTGAGCTTGAAATTGGCCGCGAAGGTTTGCGCTCGCTTTCCCTAAGAGTTTATTTGACCGAATGAAGCCGAGTTGGGTGAATTATTTCTATGTCATGGTTTCTTAGCTGTGATGATTTTGCGCGTCTAGAACCCGCATATTTTTCTTATCAGTAAATGATAGTTGGCTTATAATAACGCATTTCTATCCACCTAATTATATCCACATGAAGAGTCGTCGCCACTGCAATAAACAGCTCTCCGAAAAAAGACTGTAATAGAACATTCCTGTCTAGATTCATCTGAAGTCATCCTCTCTGCCGCCAAAGAGGCGTCACAGTAGATAGTGCTCAATATGCTCAAAAGGCTATGCTTTAATGCTAAATTAAGGTGAAAAGAGCTATTCACTTCCGGTTCTCTACCCTTAAAACGGTATTCAGAGAACATTTTCTAGCAGAGCCATGAGTAGGTTTGAATTTTAGGAAACTTCCACTTTTCAAAAATTATGGGAGCTTTACAGCCACGATTTGCGATTCGACTGCTGGTCTGCGGAATCAACGCTAAATGTTTACTTCGGCCTTGAATTGTCGAACCCTTGAGTGTCACTGCACTGAAATCTGTCCAGTAACTTCTAGTTTGCATCTTTCTTCCTGGTAATTGGAAGGGTACACGTCAATCGATTCGTTCAGGTTCGAGTTGTGCCACACCCGAATCATTCAAACAATTGGGAAATGATGACGGTACTGGCAAGGTCGAGTAGAAAAGAAGCAATCACATCTTTCTATTTCTACTATCATATCCTTCCACAGCGCGTTTTACCATCCTCTAGCGTAATACTGCATTGTTCAATGCTGATCTCATGATACAATCCCAATTAGGCCAGGGACAAGTCGTTGATGCAAAATCAGTGCCAAAGGTCTTTGACCCCTTGGCTCTGATTTCGCGGCAGCAACTTTTCCCTGTGGCTGCGCCAAAGGAACTTCGGAATCGGCTCCTCGTGCCGTTGTGGAGCTGCACCGTGCAAAGTGAGGCGCTACAAACGTTGCTAGTTTCAAGAGTCGTTGCCACATTTTGAACATTTTCCACAGTGATATTCATGAAAGCGAAAGCGATTCCTCCGACCGAGTTCCGGTAGCCAGGTTCACGTCTTTCTCAGTCCTCTAGGTAAACCATTACTTGGTGATATCTGGGTATCGATACTGTCATAGCCTCGAGAGGCGTCATGGCACATTGTAAGTGGATGAAAACCGATGAGCATGAGTTTCTGTTAGTTCCACTATGGCATCTCTACTTGTTCTGCTCCTTTCTTCTTGGTGAGTTGTAGGTGGAGGTATCATGAAGAAGTGGAAACCGAATCTTTCAAACAGTAAAACAACTGGACTGAACTGAATAGCTGAAGTTCCACTACTGAGAAAAAGTTGATGGAAACTAACGGATGGAATGAAGAAGGAATACAAAAATTAGAAATCGGGAATAAAAGACTTACGAGATAAATACAGAGGTTTCAGACATTCAGGTGTAACGAGGAGATATATCGAATCAGAGAAGAATGAATTACCATAGCAGAAAAAAGTTCAACAGAAAGGAAACTGGAGTAGTAGATAAAAATTTTCGCGGTAAGATGAGTTAACATGAGCGGAAATTCTGCAAGGTTATTAGCGATCCTTCTTCAGTAGCAATTTTAGTACGACAATTCTAAACAATATTGAATATAATTACTCGATCACAGATTGTGAGAATGAACTGGCCGTGAAGAATGGCTCTGAGGAATGCCTAATAGGAGAGCCTGGCGAGGGGCAGCCAGCAGTAACAAACAGGGGGAGTGTGGGGGGAGGTTTGATTCTCTTATTTTTAGATTCAGGGCAAGAGCTTGTGAGTAGAGGAGAAAACAATGGTGAGGGAGAAAGTCCCCCATGTGCCGTCGAAAGTAGTTATTTGAACGAGGATTCGGTGGCTGAGTACAGGCCACGGGCTGGTGGTGGCGCCGCCAGACAGCAAACAAAATGAACAAGGGCGAATAGCATAGATCGTGATGACGTCATTTACCAGGAAAACAGAAATGCAGTGAAAAAGCTGTGGAGTTCAGTGTTCGATACACATCAAACCACTTGAGCATTTATAATTTGAACATCGGGTAATGGTTTTGACTAGGAGCCATTTTGTAACCATTCAAGAGAGTTCTCTTCAATGTCGAAGGCTGTCAATTTGTACACGATAAGTATAGGAACCTCTAGAGTACACTTAAGTATTAAATTTTTAAAGAGAATCTTTGATTTTTTGAACTATTTTTCTGAAAGGTGGAAGTGAATAAAGTTATCATAAAGGAAAGATGAAGATTCGTGATTGTCCAGAATCGACGACTGGCGCAAAATTCCAATAATGAGGTGTGAATGTGCGCTCATAAGGCTGCCTTTGTCTTCAAAATTCAATTTTAAATTCCAGTTCATAGTTGGGCTTACCACTGTGTCTATTACAGCAGCGTAACGTGGATGTGGTTATTGTTAATCACTATGGCCACATTGGTAATATTCAAATATGAAAAGACTACTCATCGTCGGAAGTATGCTCTTAGTTACTGGGTAGCTTATGAAGTCTTGATCAATCAGTAGCAGGAATCTATTACTTTGTCAGTTCGCAAATTTTGAAGAGAAGGGGGTTCACTTTCAATTAAGAGTGCTATGTACAACCAGCGCAAAATTCTGCCAAATCGCGAGCTTTGCTTAAATCAGGGGACTGAGCAATAAGGGTAGAGCGTCGGAGTGAGTGAAATGGCGATAAAGGTATAACTCCCGTCTCAGGATATTTGACAACGGCAGAGCTTTCCTCCTCCTTCCTTCTCTCATCGCTCTTCCCTTTCCCCTCCCTTCAAATGCTCGGCTCGTGGATGGGATGAGAAAGTACCTTTCCGCCTTTGCAACGTGAGAATGTCCGGATGATAGAAGCCCTGTAACCTACAACTCTCTTCCGTTCGCGCACAATTTGTGAGTGCGCGCGAACGTTCAAAATTCAGGAATCGAACCACATATTATTTCCTTTTGTCTCTTGTTGGCATTTTTTTCGTCTTTTTTCTTTGGAGGAGAGCTCGTACCGAGATCAGCTGAGGGGAGAGGGGAGGGTCGTATAAATCAGAAGTTTTACTCAACGCGATGCATGCACTGCTAACAGCGTCCCATTTAGCGTTCGCGCGGCGACCGCGATGACGCATGGACTTATCTACGGGACTTCGGGGAAGTTTTGGTATACCGCTAACTAGGAGGATATATAACTCGCATGACAGAGGTAAAACCAACAACAACCGGGACAACTGAAAAAAATTTTCTCGCAGTTCGTTACTGACAGTTACGACCCCTCCCGCCGACCAGGTCAGTAGCGCTCAAAAGTTTCGGCCAAACGTCCACAACGTTTTTCTCACACAACCATTTCATTTGAATTTTTATTGCGTTATACCTACCATTGTTACCAATGAATGACACTAGTTGCCTTGGAGCATGATGCACGTGCTGCAATTTTTGCGTAACGACTAACTTCAGTGTGTACAAGGCCTTCTATTGTTCACATTTTTCTAGTTTTGGCGGAGTTCCCCGACAATACCTTCAGGTGCCAAAACTGTCTTCTGCCTCTTGCAGTGACTAGGAAGAAGACTGAAACCTTGTACACCGAAAAAAGTTGCCAGAAGATGGAAAATGTCGGCGTGAAAGCCCGAATTTCGGAGTATTCTGAGGGTTTATAGGCGGACAGCGCCGCCGTGGTACCACAATAAGACTGCAATCAACGTCTGGAAGACGGCTAATGCCGTTTGGACTCCAGAAATTTCGGCACCGAGCTCATTTTTAAATTGCCCAAGTCACCAAATCCGCT